GTGGACTGAGTCAAGTGGATAATCATCTTCAAGCCTAGGGTCAATGAGTTTGCAAAGATGTTCTCTGGGATCAGGTTTAAAAACATTCTCAAACTGCAAAAAGGAGAAGAGAAAAATAGATTACCCCCCAATGCTTATGGAATTCCTTTGTGAGCAATGTCAAATGGGCAAAACCTCGATTTGGCTCAAGATGTGATTTAAAACTGATTTTGCTTAAGAATCACTGTTTTAATTCGATCACATTAGAGAGTAAATTAACAATTGTTATTCTATGTTGTATTTATCGTATTATTTTGAAATATTTATCAATACATTGTTTTTAAGTTTCTCCAAAATGATATTTTTTTATTAATTAAATATTCATTATGTTATATATATATATTATATCTTGTATTATTTTATAAATTTGTATCAAATTATAAAATATAAATTATTATGTATTATTAAATTATAAGAGGTTTCTAATTCATTATTTTAAAAATATATATATATATATATATATATATATATTATATCACCCTATTGCATGTTTTTAAAATTGCCAAGTATAAGTTAGAGCATGAGCACGGCTAAAATTTCTCTATACTAGACCTTGCTTGCACTACTTCTCATTAATTGGTTGAAAGAAAACTAACCAGAGCAACAAGTCCCTTTGATCCAACATCAGGATCATTTGTCTTGACTATAGCTGCTTTAGCAGAAATAAGCTCGTAGAGGACAACCCCAAAAGCATAGACATCCAGTTTGGACGAAACTTCACCGAATCGAGCATATCTGCACCATAAAAATGGTAAGCTCAGTCCATTTTATATAACAGATTGCATACATATAATATATATGCTTTTTTTACGAAAGGAGACTGCAGCAGAGGAACAGAGAAAAGGGTTATATATGCTGAGATTTAAACTTCAAAACGGTCAGATGCCAACTAGTAATCTTATAGTCAGTCCTTAACAACGATTACTAATTTGTTTGCCATTGTGGTAGATTACTCAAAATCACATTTATCTTACTCAGGTGCCATGTATCCAAATGTTCCTACATCGCGAGTGCGTGGCAATGATGCACTTCCAACTTTAGGGTACAGTTTTGCCAATCCAAAGTCTGCAACCTGCATTGAAAGGGATACAACAGATTGATAAGAAGAAACTTCGAGATGGTCAACCTGATGATTAGATGGATAGAAAATTTTGTAACCTTTCCATGGAAGTTTTCATCTATCAATAATTTTTAGCTGATTTGATATCACGGTGAATATAAACAGGAACGGCATGCTCGTGGACATACTCGAGGCCTCTTGCTGAATCAAGTGCAATTTGCACACGAGTAGACCAAGGAAGTGGGTCTTTCCCTGGAAATGGACAAACCATAACCATCATCTCTGCTTGAAATCATGCCATCAGAAATTTAGCAGTTACATATGCAGAATTATGCTCACTTGAGTCGCGTAAATGTTGGGTTAGATTGCCATTCTCAACGTATTCATAAACAAGGAAAAGAGAACCTTCAACACAGTACCCAATTAAACGAACCTGTATTGAAAATATCATTGAATGATATATAAACTTCCTTGATAATTAACAGAAATTAAAAAAAAAAAAAAAAACTTTTCAAAATTTCACTTTGCCATTGGCCCGGAAAGGCACAGGCAACTGCATTTAGGAAAGTTTATTACCAGGTTCAGATGATGAACATGTGTCAAAGCCTTTAGTTCAGCTAGAAATTCTTTTGATGCTTGCATACCCATCTTCTTGATTGCAACTTTCTGATGAGCAAGTAATAAAGGAGTGTTATGGAAAAGAACATAGGTAACTGACATATGAATTGAACATTCCATATGTTTCTCTTCTTTGGTTTGACGTATTATTTTAAGTGGAAAAGGTTGAAAAACAATTGGCTAAGCAACTGATTTTTAAAAGGTTGAAACTCTGCCTTTTTTCCAGGAATTCAAGCTCGGTATTGCCTGAGGCGGATCTATACATTTAACTAGGGCGTCCATGACACTCTTAAAAATTGGAAAATTAAGAAAATTTAAAGGGAAATTTTTCCTTGACATCTCCAAAGTTTTTTCTTGGACACCCTTTTCATTGATAAAATTAATAAATTGGACGGTAATTATATATATATATATATATGATAAGTGAATATTTCAGAATAAAATTCTAGATCCGTCACTGTATGCGGCCATCAGTTAACTAGGGTGAACCAGTTGGGCCAAGTCCAAGTTCCAGCAATGGTTTAGTACTGGTATGCTCATGTTTCATCCATAGTCAGCATTAACAGGTAAATGCAGGGTAAAATGAAAGAAAAAATATCGGACAAAAGAAAGTCGGGATGGTCAATGAAATAAATTTTTATCGCAATCAGTGATGATATATTTACGCTTCAGCATCTCTCAACCATCACTAGAGCATCCTGATGATGTTCTTGAGCAGCCATGACAACAGTAAAATTCCTCGTTAATTTTGTTTTGCCCATAGAAAATACAGTTTTCAATTAGTAAGATTTTCAAGTATTTTCCATCCCAATCCAAAGGATGGAACTCATTCTTTCACGACTTCTCTCTGAACAAAACAAAATGATGTTCTGTAATTTTCTGAAACTCAGCCAAGAAGTAACTGCAACTTATGAACGATCTTCAACATCAAATACAGAACGATCTTCAACAGTTTACTAATAATAACAAACAACAAAGTGTGTGCAACAACTGACCTTGCCTCGTAACTCTGCATGGTAAACATCAGCAAAGCCCCCTTCACCAATCTTGTGTGCCAGACTGAAACTGTTAGTAGCTTGGGCAAGTTCTTTATCTGAGAAATCAACTGATGTATCTATGGTAGTGTCTTTATGGCCTTTAGCTTGACTTCTAGGAGCTAAAACACCCCCAACCACACGAAAAAGGATAAAAGGAAAAAAGAAAAGAAGAGGAGCAAATCATAACTGAAATCATGTCAACTATAATCTACTTGAGAGGTCTAAAGATTCTGTTCTTCAAAGGGGAAAAAAAACGAATACTAGATGTTCAGAACGCAATGATTCTATAAATAGCATTGCTTTACAGTAAGAAAAAGTTGAACCATTTAATCAAGAACAGGTACATATCTTGCCGCTCTGCATTAATGAGTACTTAAAACCTGTCCCTGTGATAATTGATCCTCTATTCATTCACAATGGATAATAAGTGACTCAACACTTGCTAAAAGCAGTAAATTTGTGTAGCATTCTCCAATTCCCAACTTATCAAACAAAGATAAGAACGATAGGACAAAGAAAACTGGGTGAGAGATGCAGAGAAAATGTACCATTCCCAGCTTGAGCAGGTAGAGTTTTGGGTGATGTTGAGAGAAATATTGCCTCCTTCGGCTTCCTTCCTATAAAAGCCAAAATATAGAACACCTGCAGCTAGTAGTAGAAATCCAGCTACTGCTGCTAAAGACATCCCAGCAACAAGCATTCTAGATATCCCTAATGAATACATAAAGGAAAGATATGAGCTCAAAGCATTATTATCATTTTAGAGATGATCAAGTTTTGAGTTTAGAGCTTCATCATGCTGATAAACCAAGTGCCTATAATTCAGAAAAGGCAACCACCTTTGCTGCAAAATTGAAAGAAAGGAATATATATATATATATATATATATATATATAATTTATGAAGGATGTTAATTCAACCTACAGAAGACTAAATTATTAGATGCTACTTGGACCTCAGGGGTCGATGACTACCACTTGCATCTGTAAATAAAAGTAAAAACTTTGGTGAGGCAAGTTGAGAGCAGTCCATAATACTCGGGATCTAAAATATTTAGAAACAAAATGAAGTTATTCAACTTTTTCTCATTTCATGGAAGATTTAACTTATTCATTCTCACATATTTAGAAATACAGAAGCAATCACCTTTGCCAAGAATATAAACCAAACCTTCCCCTCGGCTGAAATTCATCCCCCCCCCCCCCCCCGCCAATTGTAGCTCTGACCCAATCCTGCAACATCCTCGGAGAGTTTAGTCTGAGCCAGCACAGTATCCAAAGTCTCTCCAGGTCGGAGCGGGTATGTAATAAACAACCCGAAATCCTTTGAAACAGAACCATCACCGCATGAACAATTGAAAGTCACATTAAGCTTAACATTATCAGGTATCTCATTGGCTTCATGTACATTAAACTGCTGCAACCACTCAACCGTGGTCAAGTTGGAATAGTACAAACTGGCGATTTTCTCGTAGTTGTCACCAAACTTAACCTCGTATTTGAATACGTGGCCAAAGAATTCAACTTTGATGCAGTCACAAGGGCAGGGGACGTTGAACCTGGTAAAAGCTTCGAGCCTATCTTCGCCAGCCACTTCCTTGTTGATTTCCAGGATAGCATCAGGCTGCCCTTTTGATACAAGCTGAGAATGCAGAACCTCGGAGATGAAGGTAACGTTTGCGTTTTCCCAAGCGTAGTAGGATGCTAAAGCCAAGTCACAGCCTTTCTTGCATTTTGATTCTGTTACAGTAATGGAGAGTGAGACGAAGAAGAAAAAATGAAAAGATAAGCTAATTCTTGGCAGAGTCATCTTTTCTTCTCTGTTCATGAAGTAACCTTGGGTTTTTGTTCATATTTTGAACTCCAACTTATGGTTTAAACCATTTTCTGCAGTCTGTGATAAGCGTTTACTTCCACCAACTGCCTCCTCTTTGATTGGTTTTAACTTCCAGTTCTTCCACTTTTGGAACTAGAAGTCGTGCAGGGTCCACTTTAGCCCCAAAGAAACGCACAAAATTGAGAGATGATGAAAAAAAATTCAACTCTCAGTCAAGAAATAAATGGACTGATGATGAAGTTATTTGGGATAGAAGATAAGAGACCTGTATCGTAGAGAGAGCCAGGAATCTGTCTACAAGTTTCCAAGCAAGAGAAATAGGAAGAGAAAGGGGGGTGGGGGGGGGAGGAAGACATTTGGTGATTCAGATAAATATGGAGGTTAGAAAATTATTTGCATCATAGCCTTTTAACGTCATATTCCACGCCTCTACTATTGATTCTGTTGTTTTACACAATATGGGAAGAGAGCAATTGTTAGATCTTTAATAAAAATAAATAAATAACTGTTTGTTGTATTGAAGAGTTCTAACGCTGATGATTGATGCCCATACAACTTTTTTGAACTAGATGGAAGCTGAATACTTCATCAGAGCCAGAACCTTCTAACTTTTTAGGGGTCCAAATTAATTTTTTATTGTCTCTGTTTGTGTCTTCGGCCATAGTTGTAGTGTTGACTGTTGATGCCCTTCTAGGGCATGCTGCTATTGTGCCATTGCTCATGGTTGTATTACTTCTCTGGTCAAAAAAATCGAGTTCAATTATGAAAGGAAAATGAGAAAAATTCAAGGAAAAGAGAAGCTTTTTGGTCTATAATAAGCAACTCAAAAGTTCTAATCAGAAATAAATATATCAAAGAGCTTTCCTACATTTACATTGATCTTTTCATGGGACATTTGAAAAACATCTAGCAAAAAATGGGTCTTAAATGCATTTTAAAAAAATAATAAAATTTCATGTGATATATCAAGAAGTAATCTCAGTGATTACATTTACAACCATTTGGAAATGACTAGTGTGTTATTCACAAAAAAAAGACCTTTTCCAACGCGTTTGGTTTATCGTCCTGACATAAGGTTGACAAGAGCTTGATTTTCATAGAAAGAACCAACATCCCAATCCTCTGTTGAGGATGAAAGAGTCATTAGGGCAACCACTATAGACCTCATACTTGGTCGTAGCTGAGGATTTTCTTGTGTACATGCTTTGGCAAGTTGAGCCATCTGCAATCAAAACAGCCACCATAGCTATGTGGAATTGAAATCGTGAAAAGAAAGTCATATTGCATATTATTTCCCAGCAACTGCTCTTACCTTGAACACAGAGTCAAGTGGGTAATTATCTCCTAGCCTTGGATCTATTAGTTTGCAAAGCTCTTCTTTACAATCAGGCCCGTTAAGAGCATCCTCAAACTGCAGAAGGAAAAAAAAAATTGTTAGACTATGCCTATGGATGCTTTTTGCTTAGGATCTAACGAGTAGTTTTCAGACAGGCAAAACCCACAGTGGGCTCAACGAGGTGATAGAAACCGACTTGCTAAAAAAAATTACTCAAAAGATTGGGAATAGCATTTTAATTTCGCCTTTTCTTAAACAAATCACATTCCAATTATAACAAAATCATATCTTTGGAATTTAGCCTATCTGTCACCATTTTCCATTAATTAGAGTTGTTAAGTATTCAAAGTAAAATCAATTGATAGTTATAACAAAATCATATCTTAGGAGTTTAGCCCATCTATCACCATTTTCCATTAATTAGAGTTGTTAAGTATTTAACTTAAAATCAATTGACAGTAAATGAATGACCCAATTTCAATATAAGACTACAAGAAATTAGATATTTATTAAATATGGAATAACACTATTTAAAATTTAAATAGTCCCCGATTAGTGAGAAATCACGTGACAGTTTGGAAATGAGCAAGCTGGCAGATTCTATGGACTCAGTTCAATTTATAGCTAAATTTTTCGAAAGATATTATTTTGTTAATTTATACTTTATAATTAAAATATAAAAAATATTTAAATATAAAAGTTCAATTAGGCTCGCGAGCTACTCGAAGTATAGAATACTCAAACTCAATCGAATGATGAATCGATTACTGAGCTCAGCTCGACTCAATAATTATACGGAATTCGAGTTTTATTCGAATCAACCGAGTACTTGCGAGTTCTTGCTCTTTTGATCACTGAGAGTTGGAAGAGCACAGAGGAAGTCTTCTTTGATATATTTAAGATCTAACTTTAAAACCAATTACAGTGAAAGGTAAAAGTCCAATTGAATATAAGACTATAAGAAATTAGATATTTATTAGATGTGAAATAACATCACAACAGTAGTACAGGATTTGAAAGAATACTAACCAGAGCAACAAGACCCTTCGAGTCAGCAATAGAGCCATTTGCCTTGACAATAGCTTCTTTAGCAGAAATAAGCTCATAAAGCACAACCCCAAAAGCATATACATCTACTTTAGCAGAAACATCACCATATTGCGCATATCTGCACACAAGCATGAATAAAGTTAGTTCATTTTTACATGAACACCAACTTTTAGGCAGATGGCAGAACTCCTTCGTGGAATACCAACTTCCAAGGAAGGCAGACAGTGCTTATTAACAAAATTATTTTGTTGTTTATTCCAGAGCTAATGAACTCTTATGCCGCAACTTTGCCCCCAAATTTCTACTAAAAAAGCATGTTTAGCTTTCATATCATATCGAGTAAATACCAGCTGTGCAACCAAAGGGTTAAAAAAGAGTAATTGATATTATATTTATCTTTGCCGAATTAAGAAAGGGACAGTGTTTTTCTGTAAACAAAATCTGACACTTAGTAACATGAAGTATCATAATTCAATGTTAATATCATGTCTATAATGATTGCAGAATTGTGTTCTACATCCTCCCATCTCTCGTCTAAATCACTTGCATTGAGAAAATTCAAGCAAAATAAGATAGTAGAAAACATTCTAAGTATTAGTTTTTGAGGATCTCCCATAATGAGCAAAGAAGATTCTTGTATAGAGAATCATAACTACCAAAAATAAGGACCGGATTAAGCATCACTCAAGTTAAAATCTCGTCAATTAAATCCACCATATACTTTGAAACACAAATCTAGTATTGATATTGCTCAGTGTAATGTAAAACAAAGTAATCAGCCATTTACTCGTAAGTTTCCCAGTTCTCACATTCTCACAGAGTTCGCATCATCATGTGAGAACTCAATTAATTTTTCTCAAAAGTGATAACCTGGTCAAATTTATAGGATTTCATGACAATGATGTAAGGGCATCCGGTTAAATTTTAGAGGTTTTCATGCAACAATTTAACCAATTGTTAGTGTGTGTTCACAATCAGTTAAACCATTTCACATTTCCTTAACAGAACTGAATTTAAATATGTATTTACATTCAGGTAAAAGCATGCATAGAGTTTTTTTTGCCTTTGTTTTTCAGAAAACAAAAACAAGAACCAAACCAACTTAGAAATCAAACCTAGCAGAAGTGATTTGATATATTTTGGTTTCTAAACCTAATTCTGTTTGGTTTAATTTAGAAAACTATGAATTATATTATCCAAACCAAACTCTGCACAAATGATCTGATGCTCCTCTGTTCACAAATTCATTGACTAGGGGTAATTTATGAGACATACAGTCCTAAACTGCAGTTTTTGCTGAGTTGCTATCATTAAATTAGACAAAAGGAAATTTAGGAAACTCGGCAGATATATACTTAAGATGCCAACATAGACATATCATGCTGTTTACTAATTAGTCTATGGGATCATTGGCCTCTCTAGTCATAAATCTACTGACAGTTAGTCTAGCCAATTGTTGAACTTATGTATGGTCCTTGACAAACAAGGTTAATCAGTTACAAATTGCTTTGAATTAATAAGTACAAAATTTATCTTACTCGGGTGGCATGTATCCAAATGTCCCAACAAGACGTGTGGGTAGCGATGCACTTCCAACTTCTGTCAGTTTTGTTAACCCAAAATCTGCCACCTGCATTATATGTTAAAAATGATTTGGTGCAATTATGACAAGAAGCTTTGAAACAGTCCACCTGATGAGATATCACGAAAAAAAACCTTTGCACGGAAGTTTTTGTCTATCAATATATTAGCTGATTTAATGTCACGGTGAATGTAAACAGGGACAGTATGCTCATGGATATATTCAAGACCTCTGGCTGAGTCAAGGGCAATTTGCACTCGAGTAGACCAAGGAAGTGGCTCCCTGCCTGGAATAAACAACAGAAATCCATTAGTGTTGCTGAGTCAATGCCGTTAGCGCTGCTGAGTCAATGCCATTAGCAATAATTTCCACACAAAAAAACTCACTTGAGCCTCGCAAATGCTGACTTAGATTGCCATTCTCAATGTATTCATAAACTAGGAAAAGAGAGCCTTCAACACAGTATCCAATTAATCGCACCTGCATTAAACATCCATATTAGTATTCACTTTGAAGATAAATAACAAAATAAGAAATTTACAAGGTCATAACTGCAAAGGATGTTTAGAAAGAAAGAAATTTTTCATAAATTGAAAAAGAAAGGCAATTGAATTCAGCTACAATGATTGAGAAAAGTTAAACAACTTCATTACTTGTGCATTGCCACAACTGCAATCAAATGTATAGTCAACTCACTGAGAATCTAATTCAGCATGATACCTTAAAGAACATTAAATTATCTGTATTATATTGCTTATATTAAGGGAAAATAAGGGTTACAGAAAGTAATGCATGAAGGACTGTTCCATAGGTGGATAAAAACCGCTCCTCTGACTCATTGGACTACATAGAACATAAACTGGGCCTTTGGCTGTTGGCCTATAGTCCCACACCCAGAATAGTAACAAAATGTTTTCCAGATTCAAAGATAGAAACAACATTCAAGAAATGTTTTCTAGTTAATGGCAAACAATTATTCAAAGATACATCACCCTTTAAAATTTTCATTTTGCCACTAACTTACAGAAACCAAATACAATTACACTCAATGCACCTTTCCAAGCATGAGAAAAAGAAAGTCATTACCAGGTTCAGGTGATGAACATGTGTCAAAACCTTTAATTCAGCAAGAAACTCTTTGGATGCCTGCATATCCATCTTCTTGATTGCAGCTTCCTGCACAGTGAGTAATAAATACATAACTGATATCAGGAACCAACATGAGAGGGCAATGGTTCATTGATGCAGGTATATTTAACCCTAAAATGCATTACAGGCAAAATTGCAAATTCAAAAAAAATGCTAGTGTGCATGGTTATTTTTGTTATTCTATTTAAATGCAAGAAACAGCAAAGTTGTTTTATCGTTCAATATAGGACACCGCATATTCATGTCTCTGGACCACCATTTTACCTGTGACCCAAACAAGAACCTATGATCAAGAGAGGCATTCTTCTATTTCTTATATGGATCTTTTATGCACATTCCTCTTCCAGTTTAGATGCTCAACTCTACTTATCAGGCTTGAGATCTATATCTAATTATCCACATCAAAGTATGTTTCAAAATGTGGCCAAATATGCAAGCAAATTAGGAGGGCAAATGAACATCCACCAACCTAGGTGACATTTGGAATTTTGATCCTCTTAAACTTTAAAATATGTCTTGAAAAAGGTTTTTCTTTCCCTCAATAATATCATCATTAATTAGCAATAAATACAAGTAATCTCTTCTCCAATCTACAATTTTTCTCCTTAGACGACACAGTTCTGCTGGGCAACGTAGTTGTTTTACATTAATGTGTCAGATTTTGAATATCCCTAAAACTTAGTCAAGATTCAAAAAGTGAAGCTACTAATGACTTGACTAAATGTAATCAGAAGCACCAACTAGAGAATTTTCTTCAATAGTTTAACTATAAAAACAAAAAAGTATGCAACTAAGAACAAACCTCGCCTCTCAGATTTGCATAGTAAACAGCCCCAAAGCCACCTTCACCAATCTTGTTAGCCATACTGAAATTATCAGTCTCCTGGGCAAGTTCTTCATATGAGAACTCAACTGATTTGTCTACAGTAATGCCAGTGAGGCCTGGAGTAGCAGCAACAGCTGCGGTTGGTTCTGCTGCTTTACTTCCATAAACTAAAAAGATCCCACCACCAAAAGAAATATTGAGAAGAAAAAATATAAAGGGCAGAGACCAATAAGAAATTGAGATAATTGTACTCATGATTTACTAGCAAAGTATAGCGATTTTGTTCTAAAAACAAGCTAATAGATAAAATAAAAGGTGTAGAGATAATGCTGACGCATTTATTCAAGAACAAAACAGATAATAGCCCAGGTCTCAGCGAAGATGTAAAGTGTAAATTCTTGAACAGAGAACTTTAGGAAATTAGAAAGAAGACTAAAAGCATGTTCTTTTGTGCTACATTCTAGAATAAAGGGCAGTACATCCAGTGGTTTTGCTAGTTAATCACCTAATTGAAATGGGTTTTCAGAGACTCAACTGGCAAGACAGTCTAAAAACTCTTGCAAAAAGCTCTAAATTTGTGAAATAATCTTGAGTTCACTAAAATCTCACAAACAAACAAAAAGGGAAAGAGGAACAAGAAGCATGGGCGTTACCATTCCCAGCTTGAGCTGAAAAATCTGAGGAGGCTGTCAAAAGCAATGTTGTTCCCTTTACCTTCTTTCGGAAAAATCCAATATACATACCAACTCCCAGCAACAGCAATACCACTATGGCTGCTATAGATATCCCAGCGATAACTCCAACTGAAATTCCTGCTTGTATAAAGGCAAGATATAAGCTCAAAGCATAACAAATTTCCAGTCAATCAGCATCCCAATATCATAATCATCACAAAAGCAACATGAAAAGAAGGCCAAACCACCTGTGCTGCAAAACAGAAAGAAAGAAGAAATACATTTAAAAATTTTAAGGATTCAAAGTTTAAATAAATGATAATAATACATTAAACTATTTTTAAAGTTTAGAGTTGTATTAGCTACCTCGATTTGAGGGGACGAAAACTATCATCAGCATCTGCAAATAAAATAAAAAAAACTTTAGTGTGGCAAATTAACAGTTATTCATGACCCTCAGTGTGTGGAACCACAATGTCACACCTTTGGTGTTTAAAAATCAACAAGTTGACCACATTGTATAAATTGCATGGGTATTCAAAAGAACAACCTTGAAATGAAATTCTTTCATGTATTTGACAACATTTTGACACATAAATATACATCAAACATTACCTGGATGATTATTAGACATAAAAAATATTGAGAAAAATGAATGGATACATTTAAATGACAGTGGAAACAAATGTTGACTTCATTTACAAAATGCATTAAACTATCCATCACTTTATACAGTAACATAACAGTTACCAATTTGGTACCTAAAATATAATTGATTGCAGCTAAGCTAAACTTTCCTTTGGATCAACCCAACTCCCATAGGGTGAATCTTTGAAGCTCATTAACATTAGCTAGCCTATGATCAAGATAACAAGACAAACTGCCTAAGCTGAATTTCTATTAAATTAATCATTCATCTATCCCCAAGGCAACTACTCAACTGTTAGAAATTGAAACTTTTAATTTGAAGATCAGGAGAAGGATTAAATTTTGTGAAATAGGGAAGAATATCATTTATTGTCCAAAAGTCTAACGACGTTTCACATAAGATGGACAAACAAATTCCTCTGACACATTAGTGGGCATAAAAAGCTCTACTTTCTTGTATTACATAAACTTAATAATCATCTCGATTTCCAAGGTAGAAGTAGACACTAAAATCAAATCTACAATTACTAAATTACATTCACCCAAGTTAGAATCAAATTAGTTGTTCAAATAATCATCTATATTCCTTTTTTAATTCTCTTACAATATCTAAATTGCCATGTTTACCTATAAAAATTAAAAAAAGAAAAAATCAAACAAAAGAAATCACCTCTGCCCGGAATTGACACTAAAATCCTACAACAGAGTTTTCCTTTTTTTTTTTAGGGTAGCCATAATTATCCCATTTTTACTTACCTATAAAATTAACAAAACACAAATCAAATAAAAAATCTAATGAAATCACCTATGCCCCGAATTGACAAATAAATCCTACAACAAAATTATCTCATTTTCACTTACCTTTAAATTAACAAAACACAAAAAAAAAACAAAAATGTTTAAGAAATCACCTCTGCCCGGAATATACACCAAGCCAGCCCCTGAGCTGAAATTCACCCCGGGGTTGTAACTCTGCACCAATCCCGACAAATCCGATGACAGATTTGACTGAGTCAACACAGAATCCAAAGTCTCATTGGGTCGGAGCGGGTACGTAACAAACAACCCGTAATCCTTCGAAAGAGCAGCATCCCCACACGAACAATTAACCACCACTCTAACCGTCCCAGTATCCGGTATATTCGTCGGCGGATAGGTATTAAACTGCTCCAGCCATGCAACCGTCGTCAAATTCGAATAATATTCGGTAGCGATTTTGTCGTACGTGTCACGTGACCTAATTGAGTAGTTGAACTCGTGGCCAAGGAAATCTCCGTTGATGCAATCGCAAGGGAAAGGAACGTTGAGTCTGCTAAAAGCTTCGACGCTGTCTTTGTTCGCAACTTGTTTGTTGTAACTGAGGATCTCGTCAAAATTAATTGTCGAGAAAGGTACAAGGCTCGATTGAAGAACCTCTGATATGAAGGTCAAGTTTGCTCCTTGCCAAACGTAGTACGACGCTAAGGCTACATCGCAGCCTCTGCTGCAACTTGATTCTACTGAAATCGAGGAAATTGAGATAAAAAAGAACAAAATTGAGATTAATTTTAGTAACATTTTGGAAATCGAAAACCCTAGATTGGGATTTTGGAGTTGGGGGGGGGGGGGGGGGGGGGGGGGTTTAAGAATTGGAATGGGGGAAGAGAGTTGAAGGAAGATAGCTGATATTTGTGACCGTTGACCAAAGATGTTTGAAATTTCGGTGATGAAGACATAGTGGACGAGGACGTGGCAAATGATGAGTGGGGTCATTTGGCGCCGATTTGATTGTCGTCTTGGTAACGGTTGAGCCTCGTTCCAACCAATAGTAAATTCTCGCGGTTTTTTGTCTTTAGACGTCTTGGCGTCACTCTCGAAAATCGGGAGGGAGTATTTCAAGTGTAATGTACGCGCTGACTCTGTCTACGTTCATCGCGGACACGACGATATTAACTGGCAAGTAAATTTTTAGACGGTTAAATACAATACATTTTAATAAAAATTACATTTAAATATGATAAAAATTAAACTATATATTTTGTATTTCATATTTTAATATGAATTGACATATAAAATTTTTATATTTTATACATATTTAATATAAAATAAATATACGAAATATCATAATTTTTATTTTTGTTTCCTAACAATAATGTGTAATCTTTACTAAATATATTTATATGTGTATTATGTAATTACTTTAAAAAAATATGTATTATTTAACTAAAAAAATCGAAACACATATTTTAATATTGTTAGAGTTGTAAGTTTGCAATAATTGGGTTGTGTGTAAATTATTGATTCTAATAAGCTCTCATTTTAAAAGATAAGAAGGTGGTTTATATAATTTCTTACGCTATTTATGTTTGTTTTTTATTTCTTTCACCATCACCATGTTATAAGTTCATTGAATCAAATTATATGTCTAACATAGATATATCTGTAAAATCCAAGGTGTTTCGATGTAGCCAATGTCGCCAAAGGTTTTGTCTTCAACTCTCTTGAATATATATATATACATATATATATATATAAAGGATTAATTTATACAATATAAATTATTTAAAAAATTACAAATTTTGTTAACATTGATTTTAATAAATTTAAAAATTAAATTAAATTATTTTTTATATTTATTTATCTGTCTCATCTCTTAAATTTATTCAAATTAATGATTAAAAATGTATAAAACATTTTTAATTTTATAATTTGTAAGTTGATCCATTCTATATAAAGTAAATTTCATTAAGATCTTTTAGTTTTAAGTATAATTCAATATAAATATGTTAGCTTGAAAAATGAAAAATCCACTCCTAACTTCTTAACTCTATTAACAAAATTTTTGCAATTACAAAATTGCCCCTCAAACCTAAATTTATTGTATTTATATATATTGTTTTTTATTTTATATATCTATTGGATATAAATAACAAAAATTATTTATATATAAATATTACAACTTTTTAACTTAGTTTTTCTTATTTTAAATGATTTTTAATTTAAAATGAATAAATTTATCAATCATTATATTTTCATAAATATATAGATTTAAGTTTAACATAAAAACGAGTACTATAATAACTAAAATCAAATTGACAAATATCCAATTCTTATCTTTTTCTTTTTTTTATAATCAAACCTTTTTCATATTATATCTTTCATATTCATTTTTTATATGCCAAAATAATCTTACAAACTCAATACAATCAATTTTTTGTACATATATTTGCATATTAACATATTTATAATTATAAATTTTGCTTTTATATGTTGTATATAAAAAATATTTTTATTATTGATAGATTTGCTATATTTTGAAAAAAAATAAAAAGAATTTTTTATTATTATAAAATATTACTTCACGTAAATATTTAAAGATATTAACTTTTCAATAGTAAAATGATCTTTACGTGAATTTTTTAATAAAATAATTAACAAATAATTAATGGAATGATCTATTTGTCATATGAAAAATTTGAGACGGATTGTATACTTTTCAAATTTAATGAATTTGTATTGAATTATAATCAAAACTAAAAGGACATGGATAGAATTTACCCATATATATATATATATATATAACAAAAAAAGTTTTATACATTTTTCTAATCATTAATTTCAATAAATTCAATAAATGAAATTAATTCCTTTTTTTTTTTTCACTTATCTTTCTTGTCTCTTAGATTTATTGAAATCAATAAATAAAAATGATGTAAGTTGATTCTTCTTCTATATATAAAATAGGAATTGACTTACACTAATTTAAATATTACACATTTTTTATTATTAGATTAAAATTAAATATTTAACACTTACACTTAAATCATTTAATCCAAGGGTCATAAAAATGTGTAACTCTTACAACAGTATAAGTGTATTTCTCTTTATATATTATTTAAAATTAAATTCATAACACTTACACTTAATCATTTTGATCAAAAAGTAAAAAAATATGTAACTCTTATATTAATGTAAATGTATCTCTTATATATAAATATATATATATATATACATATATATATAGAGAGAGAAAGAGAGAAAGAGGAGGAATCAATTTAAATAATATAAAATTTTTTAGTTTAATACATTTTTAATTATTAATTTCAATAAATTTAAGGGATGAGATTAAAATATTTTTTTATTTTCACTTGTCCCTCTCATATTTTGAATTTATCAAAATCACTAATTAAAATAATAGATAAATTTTTTAAAATTTTATATTATATAAGTTGATCTCTTCTTATATATATATATATATATATATATATCCTCTATGAGTTGATTATATAAATAAATAAATTTCAACTCATTTTCCTTGTTGTTTTATTGTGATATGATATATTTGTCTTCATTATTAGGGTTAAATTGATTCCTCTAAATTTACTTTCATTATATATTTTGGTGTTTTTCTTGCTAGGAGTATGACTTACTTTAACCCTATTACTCTCATTATACGTTGGATTCGAATCTAATCGAATTTACAAAAAGGTCAATCCAACTCGTGAACATCTAATTATTAACTTTAAATGAAATTCCTTATGATTACCAACATCAAGGTAACCTTACATTTCTACTCCTATTATCGTTTTTTTTTTCCTTTTTTATTTTTCCATCCACATATGTTCTTTTTCTTCCATGGCAATTACCCCATTTTTTATACTACTTTTTTTATTATTTTTCTTTAAATTTTTTTTTATGGATAATGTTTTATAAAATCCTTGATGAATCCCATACAATTCATATAAACCATTTTTATGATAGTTTTTTCTTTAATTTTACTTTTTTTGGGTATTTTATATTTTTTCCTTATTCCATCCTATATTAATTATGTGATTTTGCATTAAAGTTGCTTTAATTCCTTAATGTTTGCATCTTTTGTTATAACGTATAAATCCGTGAACCTTTCACTAGACACAATTTAAGGAATTGCTACCAATTTTTTTTGTTAAGATGTGATTAACCATCTAATTAATCTATTCTTTTATAATCATCCTAAGCTTGACATAGACTTTTAAAAGAATAGGTTTTAGTATGTGTTTCAGAACTGGATTTAAGAGTTTGATTACATATGAGAAAGATTATAACACCCCTATACATCTATCCAAAGCACAATATCATTTAATTTTAAATTATCCTAAAGGTTTATGGTTCTAATGGTCTTTTATTAAATTTTACTATTAAATATCGAAAATAACTATTAAGATTTTTTCATGGATCTGACAAAATTCTTAAAATACTTCATCACTTTAAAAGTATTTAAGAATCTCATTTATTTTTTTAAAGAGACTCTACCGTCAAAAAAAGGCTTAATCAATTATTTTTTAATTTTTTCAAAAAAATATATAATTCTTCTACCATCTAGACCTAAATTAGAAATATTTTCTCACCTAGAGATTTCAAAATTTTTTACCATTTTGGCCAAATTTAAAAATATCTTTCCTAGGATTCAGAATCATATTATTGAATTTTATTCGTTATTTATTTCCTAATTTTTAGAATGAAAATAAAATGACAATGATTGTTTGAAATTTTATCCAAATTCTTTCACTATTTGAGTTGAATTTAGAAAAGACTCTTCACCTAGAAATCTCATAGAAATTCAACCATTTGTAATTTACTTGAGATTTTATCATTGGATAATTGTCATATATTTTCAATAAAATTGTATAAATTATATATTTTTTGTTTAAAAGGGAATGTAATTACTTTTATTAAAATTTTTATCTAAATTATTCCATCATTTAGGTTAAAATTAGAGAAATTTCTCATCTAAAGATTTCTTAAAAAATTTACCATTTGAAATTTCTAAGAATTTAATTATTGGATAATTGTTAATTCATTCCCAAAATTTTATTAAGACATGTATTTTTCGTTTTATTCTGAAAATAAATATTAATTATTGTTATTGAAATTTTATCTAAATTTTTTCTCCATTTAGTTCAAATTTAAAGAAATCTCTCACCTAGAAATTTTCTAAAAAATTATACATTTATAAGTTCTAAGAATTTCATCTTTGAATAATTATTATTCATTTTCAAAATTTTATTAAAGTTTTATTTTATATTTTTATTATGACTTCCCTAATAATTTTCTATAAAAAATAAAGAAAATATATATCATAAATAAATAAATAAAAACCATACAAAATACAGCATACAAAATACAAAAAAAAAAGCTGGCTCGGATTGCTTAGGTTATGGCTCAGTTGTAGACATAGAAATCGACTCGGGATGGTACGACTCAAGACTCAACTTGGCAGCTTCAGCAATTTAGAAAATGGGTGGGTTGTAATTAGGTTGGACTATCCACAAGTCGAAGCACAAACCACTGAAATGGGTCAAAGGGAACCCGGTTTCCTTTGGCCAAAACGGTACCATTTTATCTTTAGTATAAATGCCTTCTTTTAAGCTCTGTCATTCCTGTTTCCTTTTTATCTTCTTTATATAAATATATGATTCTCCAACCTTTCTTTACAAAATGATGAATGTTGGTCAGATTTTAAAACCAACCTAAAAATTGAAAAGCTTCACCATCATCACCGTCATACACTACCATTTTTTAGCCATCCACTAGTAGGTGGAAATGTTCTAAAAAATCTTCACAAGCTTATCTCGACCTCCTCT